ATCAACACTTTAAACACTTTAGTTCTGTATTTAAAGGGCTCCTTCAGGTCCTCAGATCCTCTTTTTCAGCCTGATGCAGTACATAAACACTGTTAATGTTTAAAAAATACAGTATGTGGGCTCTTTAAAAACGCTAACGCTACTTTAGCGCTGTGTTCTGCACTGTTAAGCTGTAACGATGTGAATGTTTATTTTTCGGCTCTGCAGACTGAAAACCCTCCACTGATTTGGATGATCATGATAATAATAATCCATTAAGACGTTAAAAGTGACTGAACAGACAGCGTCTCCTCACCGTGATCCTCCCGCAGTGCTGTGCGTGTCTGTAGTCTCTCCTCCACTGAGCCGTGACGGAGATCCGGCGATGCTGATGCTGCCGGCGGCCCGAGAGGGGCGCTGCTGCCCCCCGGCCTGGCTCAGGGTCAAAGGTCGGCAGGCCTCAGAGCTCTTTACCTCAGGAAGAGGCTCTGGGGTCTTTAAATCTGAGAGAAGGAAAAAACAGAGAAATTATGCACCAAATATTAATGTTAATCGTAATCTGCTCTATGGTGTTTACAATAAACAAGGAGCAGTAGTAGCTGCAGCAAGCTGTCAGCTCAGTTCAGCCTGTTTAAAGTGGAAAATGTTAAAATCCCCAAAATCTTCTCAAAACTATCATAAAACAGTGTCTCAGTCATCAGGCAGTGAATTCATAACCATTTCATGTAGGAACTTTCTGTGAGGGAGCTTTTAGAGGCGGACGTCTGGTTCCTATCACCACCACTGTGAACAGTTCTGACTCAGTAAGATTATCTAGAACAGAGCGTTTCACACCAAACCACTCTGAACAACTCTGAACCGCTCTGTTTACATCTGAACCAGTTAATGACGAAGGAACTGTGTAAATATATCAGCGTTATTTACCCTGCAGGAAGGGATTAGTGCTGTCCTCCTCAGTCAGAGTGTTCAGCTCCCTCTGCAGCTCTGAAACACAAAGCAGATCATCTCACAACCATCAACACCACACACACTGTGCTTCTGATATACAATATGTTTAAGATAAAGAAGTAAAAAAGAAACCCGAATATTCATTTTGGTTTTATTTTATGGTCAAAATCCAACTGCCGAGAGTGTTCAGTGCTGCTTAATGAACACACACAGGTCATTTCTGCAGAAGACTAAGATAAATAAAGGTAAATGAATACAGAGTGTAAATGTTTGGCTGCACTGTGGGGGATTTTCTTCCTCAATTTTGTGCTGTTGTTTATAATAGAGCAGTCGAAAATGAATATTAATATGTGTACTGTGTCACTGCTACAACACACAGGGTGGATTTAGAGATTCTAGGAGAAAAGACAGGAATGATAACAGGAAAAATACTATACACACACACACACACATATATATATATATATATATATATATATATATATATATGATTTAAAGGGCCTATAACCTACATTTGTCTTGTATTTTATTTTTTTCTCCATGAGCTCCACTTTTAACATTAGTGTTTGTTTATGTATAATATAAAATATAACACATTTCTACATGATCGTTTTTCAGTCTCTCTTTATCATTTAAAATTAAATAGGCTGTTTTTATTACTGAGCCTTTATTACTGGGCCTTGTAAATGAGCTCCACTCTGATTGGCTGCTGTCATTCAGAAATCTGAAACAGGGCTGAAACACTCCTTATAACCTCAGTGTAAGTGGGCGGAGCTAAACTGCTGTGGGCTGAATGGGTTTATATACGTAAATGTTTGTTTTTTCATGACATCACAAAAACAATGAATTCAAAACAGGTTCAGTTTCCATAGATGGGCTGTATGGACTGGGGAGCGAATGGTTACTTTACTCACTACATAAATCACTTTTTTTTTTTGAAAAAAGCATGGAAGTTTTGGTTTTACATAATTTGGGCTCTTCAACTTATTTCTAGACCTGTTTACTTGTTTTATGTAATTTTACTGGATGTATATCATTTATTATATTTCAGAACAGGTCAACTTCAACATGTAGAGTCTGTCTGATTCGTATTTTAATGAGGCTCTTGGGATTTCTAACAGCGATCTGTAGCTACCTCACTACAGTAGCTATGGAAGAGCAGATCTGTGGGCGGAGCCTGGAGAGGGTAATTAAAGGTGGGCAGTGTACCTGTCAGTGTGGAGGGAAGCAGCGCAGGGCTGGACAGAGCAGACAGAGCAGAATGAACAGCAGGGGGCGCTGGAGCAGCTTTTACAGCACTAGCCCTGTCGGGCTGGGACGGGGAAGCAGTTTGGGGCTGAATTGGGGGCGACGAAACAGGAACAGGGGAAAGTGAGGGTGGGGGGACAGGGGGCGGAGCCTGAGTTAGATGGGGTGGGTCAGACAGAGCTTCCAGATCAGGGCTAATTAGCAAAGGCACAGGGGTCACAGAGTCACTGAGGGAGTGGCGGGAGGAGGCGTGGTTAGCAGGGGGGCTGTGGTCACTCTGCTGAAGGGACACTGAAATGAAGAGATAAAATCATTTCTAGTGAAAAGTTTTCACCAAAATCTCACTGAGAAAAGCAGCTCAGCAACAAAGGAGCTCATTAAAGGGCCCATATCACTGATTCTCCTGTATTACAACGTTTATGAGGTTTAATGAACCAAAACAGTCATAATTCATTTCATGATTATTTTATAAACTCTTTATAGACTGATATATGTAAATGAGCTCTGTTCTGATTGGCTGTCCTGTATTGTACCTCTTTTAAAAAGCAATCAGGTCTGAAACACTCATAGCTTTAATGTGAATGGGTGGAGCTAAACTGCTGTAGACTGAATGGGTGGGGCTAAACTGCTGTAGACTGAATGGTGGGGCTAAACTGCTGTAGCTGAATGGTGGAGCTAAACTGCTGTAGCTGAATGGGTGGGGCTAAACTGCTGTAGCTGAATGGGTGGGGCTAAACTGCTGTAGCTGAATGGTGGAGCTAAACTGCCGTAGCTGAATGGGTGGAGCTAAACTGCTGTAGCTGAATGGTGGGGCTAAACTGCTGTAGACTGAATGGTGGGGCTAAACTGCTGTAGACTGAATGGTGGAGCTAAACTGCTGTAGCTGAATGGGTGGAGCTAAACTGCTGTAGACTGAATGATGGAGCTAAACTGCTGCAGCTGAATGGGTGGAGCTAAACTGCTGTAGACTGAGTGGTGGAGCTAAACTGCTGTAGCTGAATGGTGGAGCTAAACTGCTGTAGACTGAATGGTGGAGCTAAACTGCTGTAGACTGAATGGTGGAGCTAAACTGCTGTAGACTGAATGGGTGGGGCTAAACTGCTGTAGGCCGAATGGGTGGGGCTAAACTGCTGTAGGCTGAATGGGTGGAGCTAAACTGCTGTAGGCTGAATGGGTGGAGCTAAACTGCCGTAGCTGAATGGTGGAGCTAAACTGCTGTAGACTGAATGGTGGGGCTAAACTGCTGTAGGCTGAATGGGTGGAGCTAAACTGCCGTAGCTGAATGGTGGAGCTAAACTGCTGTAGGGTGAAGTAGGTGGATTGTGACATCACCAAAACAATGAATTTAAAAAAGGCAGTTCAGTTTCTACATACGGACTGGATGGACTGTGGAGTAAAGATATACTTTGAAACTTGTTTAAATGCTCAAATCAAACAGTTTTATTTGAGAAAATTTCAGTTTTCTGTGATATGGGCCCTTTAAAATCACACTGCAGGCAACCACTCACTGCAAACACACTGCCTGTCAAATGTTTGGGGACATCTAGCTTTTCAAATAGCTTTTAAATACAAGCCGGAATCTTTTTCAACAACTTAAAGAGAATTTTATGGCTTTATGTATTTAAAAAAACAACAGCGAAAATCATTACTCTGAAAATTTCCAAAGAAAGTTAAAGATGTCCCCAGACTTCTGACCCACAGTGTAAACAAATCCGAGTGATCTTGTTTTTCGTTCCTCTGTGTGCCGGCGTACCTGAGACCGGGGCGGACGGGCGCTTTAACGTGTCGGAGGGAGAGAGCGAGCGAGGCTCATAGAAAGGAACAGGAGAGGGAGAGACATAGTCCTGAATGATCTTGGGCTTAAAAACATTAAGACGAGGAGCAGCACAGAAATCTGAGACAACACAGAGAGAGAGAGAAAGAGAGGGATGAACAGAAAAGAAGGGAGGAAATCAGGCCTCAGAAAACTACAGTGAAATTTCATTTCTGCTTTTATTAAAGAGCTCATTAGCCTCATTAGCAGATCCTTAAAGTGATGGTTCAGTGAAAAATAAGATTCCCCAGCTTTCTACAAATACAGTCAATCATGGCGCCTAAAGTCAGCTTCTTTAACTTAGCACTGAAGCTACGAGGCTAACATAGCTAATAAGTAATGGATGCTAATACCCCACCAATTAGCATGCTGCTAACTGTCATTAGCATAGATTGCTCCCCATTTGCCAGGCTCTTATGTGAATTTCCCATCCCACCTTAAATGGTGCAGCAGCTACATTCAGCTCTCTATCACTCCAATCAGTCCATTCTGCTCCCGCTGTTGTAGGTTATCGTCTAGACTTTTAGTCACATCGAAACTGGACCGGGCTGTTTGGACCTCTTCAGCTAAGCTAAGTTAGCTAGGAGAGAGGAGCCAGCTAGCATTCGCTTAGCTAGGAAGGTAAAGCTCCAAACTCACAAGTTTAATTTCGGCCACTCGACTTTGCTTCCTCAGGTCTGAGTCTTTATTGTTTAAAAGTGCGCTAGTAAAGGTTTTGTTAGTCAGAACTGAGCCTGTTCTGTGGTGAGCAGAGCTGGCAGCATGCTAGCTAAGCTAATACAAACCAGCCAACATTGTTCTCCTGGTTATCAGCACTGTTAGAAACTGGAGTCAGACTGAATGGTGGATTTAAAATCATGAACTGGTTTCATTTATTTGCCATCCGTGTTGCTGAGCAACATGATTAGCCTGTTTTAAGCGCTCCATGTCGAACCGTGTCTGTGTGGAAAAGCTCCTGAAACGGATCCTTCACGCTCAGAACCGTTTCCGCAGCGGAAAAGAGGCCAGTGTAACTGCTGACACATTTAAGGTGGAACGGAAAGTCTGAATAAAGCCAGAGGCAACTGATGAATAAAGTTAGAAGTTTGAATAAAGTTAGAAACAAATAATGATTTAGGCTAATTGGTGGGTTATTAGCTTCCACTGTTAGCTACAATAGTCTCATAGCGCTAAGCTAAAGAAGCTAACACCAAACGACCACACTTGTTGGGGGGATTTTATTTTTAGTATCACTTTTAGCCCAAAACCATCAGCACCTTTCAGTGAGTCGGAGGGAGGCGAGTTAGAGAGGACAGGGGCGGCAGGTTTAGAGGGAGCGGACTCAGAGCGCCGCAGCAGCGGGAGGTCAGAGGTCACTGGAGCGTCCGGAGCTTCAGGTCCAGAAAACCTCCGCTGGAAAGAGACAGGAACTGCAGAGAGCGGAGAGGAAGAGAGGAGCTTCACACAGACGTCCTTCAGAAACTTAAAGGAGCTGTAGGACCACCACCTTTAGCAGCACTTAAAGGGACAGCCCAGCCAAAACTGAAAAATTTGCCAAACTGCCTACTAAGCTAACTGTCTCGCAGCCTCTAGGGTGAAGTTTCCTGCTCTTGTGGGAAAACTCCCTTCTGATGGTGTACGCTGAAGGTGAAAGGGAACAGAGACCTTCTAAAACAATGAAGAATTCAGATCTTAATCTGACAATGAAGTATTCAGATCTTAGATATTTACAAGGATTATGTTCTGATCTATTTAAACCCAAACAGAGACAGCAACAAGCTAAATATATACAAAATCATAATTTATAGAGTACTTTCTATTAGAAGTCTGTCCCAAACACAACCCCTAAATTTACACTAGATCAGAAAAATATTACTTACATTTTTGTATTTTAAGCGTTTTTTTCCTCGAAAGTAAAGTTGAAATATTTAGATTCATCATGAGTTTAAGTTTCAAATAAAAAATGCTGCCCCACGTTCATCGTCACTACCGAAACGGTTGCAGCCCTGTTTTGAACCCCACCCCTCCTACATGGCACATAAGAACAGCAGTCTGTGATTGGCTGTTCTGTATGTCAGTCCAACGGCCCCTTCCTGTCAAAGTAGGTGCTTCTCAGCAACAAAATGCACCACAATCTCTGATGATAAACAGAAATTTGGCTCGCAAGTCTAGCAGTCAGTGTTTGTTGAGCACTGTAGGGATTCACAGTGGTTGTATGATATCTCTGCATGATGCATGCTGGGTAATGTAGTGAGAGAACACTGAGAGAACTGTATTAAACCGCTAAGGCTCAGTCTGCTCTACATGTTTAAGTGAGATTCCTGACATTCTGCACAACAACAAGTCTGAGCACATCATCCCTCTACAGGAAGCCGTATGACTCCACAGGGCGGAAAGGAAAAAGCGATGATGTGTTTTTATGAGGCACCACATCATCATCATCATGAGTCAGTGGAAGAACATGAGTCTCACTGTGTTTTGGGACGGATCACTTACAGACTGTTAAACTACACCGTCTCTCTGTACAGAGAACAGACTGGAGAATGAAACAGCTGAAATTTATATCATTGGAAATTCAAACCAAACTACTACAGTGCTGACACTGTAATAGCGAGGGAGAGTGGTCGGAGCCAAAATTTCAAGAAAGAAGCACAGGTGATACTCCTTACAGGATGTATAAGATAGTGTGCGCCCCATATCCAGTTATATTTGACAGTGTATTGATCATCTGAATGATGAATTAAGTGTTGCTGTCACTGTCACACATCTCACGATGCGGCGCCGACACTGAGCCATCGGCTCTGTAGTTATATTAGCTTAGCAAAATGTTCCGCTATCATACTGTATTCATACCTCGTCTTCTTGTACAGTCATAAAACAGCTGTTTCACAAACACAGTGTAAAATATTTAAAAAGTCTGTGATACTGAAACTGAGTCTTGTATTAAACATCCTGCAGTTTCAACGAAAAGATCTCACCTCATTGGTGGTTGGCTTTCACTTACTTGGCTTGGTAACATTTACAGCATTTGGCAGACGCTTTTATCCACAGCGACTTACAATCTGATCATTTTACACAGGTAGGTGAAGGTGGTGTTAGGACTCTTATTGGTATAGTGTAGGTGTTTACCCAGGCGGGGTTAGGTGTAGGTGTTTACCCAGGCGGGGGACTGAACCCCAGTCTACAGCGTAGAGAGTTGAGGTTTTACCCACTACACTATACCGACTATATGATTAGCTTTCGCTTGGTGGTCAGCTTTATCTCTGTATGTTTCTCTGATTCGAACACAGAGAGACCAAACATGGGTTGGTTAAAGCTGTGTGGGCGGGACAAACTACATCAGCCCTGTGATTGGTGAGTGTACACAAACACTTCTCCAAGATTAGAGCCACATTTGGCATCGGGCATTAGAACATTCTTCACGGTATATATTTACATTGTGTTCTTATCAGAGAAACTTGAGCTCAGGTTCTTTGGGGCTTTAAGTGATGTATAACTGAAATAGTCCCTTTGGTTAAACGAATAGTAATTCAATATGAACGGTTCCTCTCCTGTAGGAAGCGATTCCAGACAGAGCGTGTGAGAATAAGCACAGTGTGAGAAAGTAGTGTAATACCTGATCCAGGTGAGGGTTGGAATATTCTGGGCAGTGCTGGGGGAGGGCTGGGTATCTGGGGGCTCAGTGGCTCTCCCTGCAGGGCTAGAAGATGTGGAGGTTTGCTGCGGGAAGGGGTACGCACCCTGTGCAGGTCTAGAGGGTTTGTAAGTGTGGAACACGAAGAGGATGGTGCCCCCTGCAGGGCCGGAGAATTGTTGGGTGTATAACCGGAGAGGAAGGGTGCACCCTGCAGGTCTAGAGGATTGGTATGTGTGGAATATAAGGGGAAAGGCGCCCCCTGTGGGACTGGAGTACTCGTGGGTGTAGAGCGGGAGGGTGAGAACACCTCCTGTGGGGCTGGAGGACTGGTGAGTGTGGAGCGGGAGGGCGAGGGTGCCCCCTGGGGGGCTGGAAGACTGGTGAGTGTGGAGCGGGAGGGTGAGGCCGTCTCCTGCAGGTCTGGAGGACTGGCGAGTGTGGAGCGGGAGGGCAAGGGTGCCCCCTGGGGGGCTGGAGGACTGGTGAGTGTGGAGCGGGAGGGCGAGGGTGCCCCCTGGGGGGCTGGAGGACTGGTGAGTGTGGAGCGGGAGGGTGATGACACCTCCTGCAGGTCTGGAGGACTGGCGAGTGTGGAGCTGGAGGGTGACGGTACCCCTTGGGGGGCTGGAGGACTGGTGGGTGTAGAGCAAGAGGGTGAGGGTGCCCCCTGTGGGGCTGGAGGACTGGTGAGTGTGGAGCGGGAGGGTGAGGGTACCCCTTGGGGGGCTGGAGGACTGGTGGGTGTAGAGCAGGAGGGCAAGGGTGCCCCCTGGGGGGCTGGAGGATTTGTGGTTGTTGAGCAGGAGGGCAAGGGTGCCCCCTGGGGGGCTGGAGGATTTGTGGGTGTTGAGCGGGAGGGCGAGGGTGCCCCCTGTGGGGCTGGAGGGCGGGGAGGTTTAGAGCGGGTGGTGGGAGAGGGTGCTGGATGGAGGGATGGACTGGGCGGAGGGGGTAAAGGAGGACGAGTCTGAAGGGGCGGGTCAGAAATTTTGCCTGGAGAAGAAAGAGAAAGAAAAGCAAAAAAGGAATAGAGAGGAAGTGAACAACAGAAAGAAAAAGGTGCAGTAAGAAAAATAATGCAGGAAACACTGAGCAGAAAATAGATTTCAGAGAATAAGAACAGACAGAAACTAATAAAGCAAAATAAAAGACAGTGCAGAAGTTCCTCAAAAGGCTCAAATGAAACTATAAACAAACTCAGCTGATCTGCTTCATCTAAACCACAAAACAGTGCGTAACACTGCCAACATAAACAGGGAAATCACACCACACCCACAGAATTAAGGAAACAGAGGGAGACCTTGTCTAATGTCGTTTTACTGGCTGGCTTGATCAGTGTTATGCCCTTGCTAAAGCTAATAGGCACATATAGAACCCTATAAGACATGTTTCAGCAAGGTTCATGTGAATAGAGTTTGCGGATTGGGTCAGATTCCATGAACTTCATAGCTCTTGAGTTCCCCCTCTGGTGCAGTACCAGCCACCCGTGGAGATTTCCTCTTCAGTAATTCCAGCCTGACCATCACAGCGCTGGAAATCCCGTCGATGCAGCACCAATAATCTTTTAAGTTTATTATTTTTTAAAAACAGATTTATGCAACACCTTGTGGAGCTTTTAAATTATAGTTGGTTATGAATCAATGGTCTATATCAGTGAGCACATTAGGACACAGACAACATCACAGCTGTACACTGACAACTGGGTTCAAATCCCTGCTCAGGCAGGAAGTCTAGTATTTGTGGCTGCTTTGTGAAAACCTCAACACTACGTTTGGTTACAAAGCCCTTGTAATATGCTGTAAATTAAATTAATTTAATTCTCATTCATGCACCCCCAAAATGTCCCTGTACAGCCCTGGTACTCATTAGCACTGCTAACTGGATGTCTGTAGCATCTAATTTGTTCTGTTTCAAATACTAATCTTTTGCACTTTTCAGTTTGACCTTATTAATGAAATGCTGAATGTTATTGCTTTGTATGTTATTGTCATTACGTAAAAATCAGATGATAACTGATGCAGGTTCCTTTGCCCGGATGTGGAGCATTATCATTTATAAAAACTTAATTTTTTATGCTATAATGACACCACTGGGTGCGACTGTGCTTTATAATCCTATAATCATGAACAGTTATGATTCAGCTTTATAGACACAGACACAGCTTAAAAAAATGTTTGAAAATACACTTTAGTACCAAAATCTTCTCGAAACTATCATAAAACAGTGTCTCGGTCATCAGGCAGTGAATTCATAACCATTTCATGTAGTAACTTTCTGTGAGGGAGCTTTTAGAGATGGACGTCTGGTTCCTATCACCACCACTGTGAACAGTTCTGACTCGGTAAGTGACTCGGAAAAGCTGTTTTGATGGAAGAGATCGATGGAGATGAATGATGAAGAGAGAGAGAGACTGAGTACCTAAAGCAGGTGGACTCTTTATTGACGGTCTTTTTTCCATGCTGCATGCTGACCGCTCAGGAGCAGAGGGAGCTGACCAGGAGAGAGAGAGAGAGAGAGAGAGAGAGAGAGAGAGAGAGAGAGAGAGAGAAAGAGAGAGAGAAAGAGAGAGATAGAGAGAGAGAGAGAGAGAGAGAGAGAGAGAGAAAGAGAAAGAGAGAGAGAAAGAGAGAGAGAGAGAGAGAGAGAGAGAGAAAAAGAGAGAGAGAGAGAAAGTGGAGGAGAGAAAGATGGAGTAAGCATTAATGAATGAATGAATGATGTGATGAATGGGTTAATATGGAAAAAAGGAAAACCCAGTGATAAAGAATGTACAGGCACATGCTCAAACATGCCACATTCTGATTGGCTCCTGAAAATGAAAGGCGTGGCCCAGATGTCCTAAAGTGATAGTTAAGATTCATCCACTTTCTCCCCACTTAGCACTAATAAAGTCGATTAGCCAGGACATGTTTGGTGTCTAATGGTTGCTTCTTTAGTGTTAGCAGTGGAGCTACAAGGCTAAGGTAGCTAACAAGTAAAGGAAGCTTATAGCCCACCAATTAGCATGGTGCTAACTGGTGGGCTAAATCACTCATTCCTAACACACCAGGCTAACAGTGCAAAGCTTATATGCAACCAGTTAGCACTGTTATCTATAAAAGAATCTTCCAATTTTCTGTTCCACCTTAAATGGTGCAGCAGCTCCTTCTGGTACCTCAAGCCAGAATGTAACTGCTGTACCATTTAAGGTGGAACAAAAAGTTCCAACAAGAATCTGGTAAACAGGGAAACCAACTTCACTAAGACACCTGAGGCTAATTGGTGGGCTATAAGCTCCCATTACTTGTTAGCTACATTAGCCTCGTAGCTCCAGTGCTGAAACTAAAGAAGCAAACTTCAGACATTTGCTTTTTGGCTGAACTATCGCTTTAAACTGACACCAGCAGCAGAGAAGAGATGGAGGGAGGAGAGGAGGTAAGTTCAGATGAGTGAGCGGAGTGTGAGTGTGTACCGGCGCTGATTGAGGCTCCGGTGCTGGACCGTTTATCCTCCTCCTCATCGCTCTCGTTAAAATCGTCCAGGTTCCCGATGTCCAGCGGCTTCACGCTCATCAGACTTGCCACACTCTGCATGTCCTCATCACTAAACACACACGCACGGTCAGAAAAATCACAAAAAACTTAAAATAAGACAAAACAAATTTCAGTTCATAATAAAATCTCCTCTTCTACTTACAGACACTTTGGCTGTGGAGTCTCCACTCGTTTGTGACTGATAGTATTGAAAACTGATTTACAGAGTAAATAGATACGTTTACAAAGTTATTGAAATTGCTCAGCATCAAAATCAGATTCTCTGCAGCTAATATAAATGTAAGTACATTAATAAATTATGTACACTGCAGTAAGTTAAAGTGAGTGCACTGACTACAGTAAAGTGGAAAAGGTTCTTATTCAGTAGGATTACGGTTTGGGACACGGTTATTACAGTTCACTAAAACTATTAACTCTAATAAAAATAAAAAAACACAAAAACTAAATCAAATTTAAAATATCTACCGTTTTAGTGTTCGCAGTGTGTAAAAGAGAGTTTAGAGGTGTGTCTCTGTGTTTGTCTTTGAGGAAAGCTGGAGCTGAGCTGAGCTCAGTCGACTGCTGTGTTCATTTTATACTGCTTTAATCAGACCTGCTGTTACAGCACTCACATCATACTAAACACAAAAACTGAAATGAAATAAAAACCAAACTAAAACTGTTACTTTCCAGAAAATGAAAACAAAACTAAGCTTAAAACTGACTGAAATTAAACTGGAATTAAAAACCAAAATGAAAAACTACATAAAAATAAAAACTAATGAAAATTTCACAACTGTAATAACACTGATATGGGATATACGGAGGTTATGTACATCACAGTGTACAGTGTGTAATAAGATGCACGACTCTATTTCTGTTACTGATTCTTGTTTGGTATCTGGAGCTATGAGGCTAACGTAGCTAATAAGTCACGTGCAAAACCACCAAAAAAGGCCATTAAATCGCATCTCGCCTACTTTCTGTATTTATAAACTGACTGGCCCATCACAGTTACTCTCTGGCCTCCAGGGGAAAAAAGCACCCCTGCAGTAAGACTCTGAAACTCCGAGCCTCTGCGGGTCTGCGGTTCCACTAGTCACGACTCACGTTGCTTTCCCCTCTTTGAGGAAGACGCAGGACAGAGACAGTTTGAGCGTGGCCTCCACGACCTTCACCGACAGCGGCTTCATCCGCAGGCTCAGGTCCGTCTGCGTCACCGTCGCACTCGCAAACTTCTTCAGGTTCACATCCACGGACGCCAGAACCTTCCGGTGACCCTTCGCCGTCTCCTGCAGATCCACAACCACCACGGAAACGAGCATTTCACATGTAAGATAATATTAATGCTTTTCTAATTAATTAAGGAGATAAACGTAAACATACTCACATTTTCAATGATGAATGTCCAGTCTTTGTCCTCAAACTCCTCTGCATGAGGATCCTTACCAACAAAAAGGCAACAAACCGTTTTACTAATTTAATAAATTGAAGGACTTGATAAAGGAGACATATTCTAAGCAGAATAAGTAGGAGATATTTTAGCAGTAAAAAATTATCAATAAGCACATGCAGGCACAGTTCAGGTCATAGTGTTTGCACTTCAATCTGCAGCAGATTTATCTGGAAATATAAATATGCACAACAAAAATAATAAATTTCACCAACTTTGGGCAACGTAGGTAAAAATAAGGTAAAAAATGCATTGTTTACTTAATAACAAAAACGCTTTATAATATTCATATGATCCACACAGTCACTCTGACAGACTGTAATACACTACAGGAAGTGTAGGGGGCGATATGGCTTCTACTGTTTCATTTAAAAAGCCTCTATAATGTTCATATGATCCACACAGTCATTCTGACAGACTGTAATACACTACAGGAAGTGTAGGGGGCGATATGGCTTCTACTGTTTCATTTAAAAAGCCTCTATAATGTTCATATGATCTTCACAGTCATTCTGACAGACTGTAATACACTACAGGAAGTGTAGGGGGCGATATGGCTTCTATTGTTTCATTTAAAAAGCTCTATAATGTTGATATGATCACACAGTCACTCTGACAGACTGTAATACACTACAGGAAGTGTAGGGGGCGATATGGCTTCTACTGTTTCATTTAAAAAGCCTCTATAATGTTCATATGATTCACACAGTAACTCTGACAGACTGTAATACACTACAGGAAGTGTAGGGGGCGATGAGACATCTATAATGACAGATTGGTACTGGTAGTTGATAGTTGCAGCTCTAGTTTATATTAGTCCGATTCAAAACAAATGACCACTGTTAACAGTAACGATGCTTCACCTTGAAGAGTGTAACTGTGATGTCCACGTTTTCGGGCACTGGCCACACCACCATCCCTCTGTAGGGGTTTTTAATGCCCGGCTGCCAACCGTGCAGCTACAACACAAATGAAAAACAGCGTCATTAACAGACAGCATGTACACTCAGTACTGCAGATAAGTATAATAGCAACACTCAGAGGAGCTCAGTAATAAATCCACAGTGAGTTATGAAGCTGTAGACGTTACCTTTGAGCAGATGCGTCTGTTCCTCCTCGTCCACACCACTCTCAGCTTGTCTGGATGCCTGCAGAACATTAAAAACTCTTTACTGGACAAAATAAACACAGTACATTTCAGGTGCTTTACTGCTTTTATACAACAGCTTTGAAAATTAAACAAAGAAGCAAAGTGAACAGCCTGAACACATTAATGTTAGTGGTGGACCCTGAAAACTAAACTCAGACTGGAGAAAGGCAGCAGCTCTGTACAGTTAAAAACAAAGACCCTAACACGGTCATACACACTAAACGCTGACCGCAGTCATAGACTGCAGGAATTAAATGTGTGCTTTTCACTTCTCGTCATCTGAACTTGATTCATGAGTTTTAACTGGTGTTTGTTAAACAAATAGTTCTCCCTTATACACCAACCAGCCACTCACTGTCCACTTTATCAGCTCCACTGACCATATAGTTTCACTCTGTAGTTCTACAGTTACAGACTGTAGTCCATTTCTATTTGGGTGGTGGATCATTCTCAGCACTGCAGTAACACTGACGTGGTGGTGGTGTGTTAGTGTGCGTTGTGCTGGTACGAGTGGATCAGACACAGCAGTGCTGCTGGAGTTTTTAAACACTGTGTCCACTCACTGTCCACTCTATTAGACACTCCTACCTTGTCAGTCCACCTTGCAGATGTAAAGTCAGAGACGGTAGCTCATCTGCTGCTGCACAGTTTGTGTTGGTCATCCTCTAGTCCTTCATCAGTGGTCACAGGACGCTGCCCACAGGACGCTGTTGGCTGGATATTTTTGGTTGGTGGACTTTTCTCAGTCCAGCAGTGACACTGAGGTGTTTAAAAACTCCAGCAGCACTGCTGTGTCTGATCCACTCAGACCAGCACAACACTCACTAACACACCACCACCACGTCAGTGTTACTGCAGTGCTGAGAATGATCCACCACCCAAATAGTACCTGCTCTGTGAGGGTCCATGGGGGTCCTGACCACTGAAGAACAGGGTAAAAGGGGGCTAACAAAGTATCAGAGAAACAGATGGACTACAGTCTGTAACTGTAGAACTACAAAGTGCACCTATATAGTAAGTGGAGCTGATAAAATGGACAATGAGCGTAGAAACAAGGAGGTGGTCAGAATGTTATGCCTGATTGGTGTGTATATATATATATATATGCTATTTCAGTACTTCCTGGGACTAAATTGGCCCATTTAGTTTATACTTTACTTTTAATGTAACTCAATGGGCCAATTTAGTCCCAGGAAGTACTGAAATAGCACACTTACAAGTGCTCCAGGTACACTGATATTAGTATACTTACATCATAAAGTATACTTGGGAAATGTACCTTTTTCGTAAGGGCACTTGTTTTGTTTGGCTCTGTCAACATTCGTCTGTAAATGTAATGACAATAAACGTCTTCCAGATGTTGATTCAGACTTTCTTGATGTTCCAATGTTTTCCGTTTCTCAAACTCATTTGTAAGTCTATCAGTTAATCAGCGTCAGTAGTCGAACTGCGCCGAGTGGATATAAACGCGCTGCAGGCTGCGGTTGAGAAACTGTGGCCTGTAGAGTAAGAATTGGAGGAAACAGGCTGGTCACATGACCGGGTTTGTTTTTGGCTCAGGGCTCCTGAGGTGCAGAAACTTCTGCAGCTGCTGCCTCACACTTTCACACTTTGAGCTCATCGGGATTCTGTCAGTATTACGGCTACAGTGCCATGTGGAGTTTTCATAATACTTGAATTTTATTTTGATGGCGATAAAAAGTGCTGATTTTTAAAAATTCAATGTTGTTATTAATGAAAACACTTTTAAATATTAAATAAATCTAATAAGTAAATCATTTAAACATGGCCTCATTTACCATGTTCTTAACAACCCAACCCTGCCAGAAAAACCAGCACAGACCAGCAAAACCAGCATATTGCTGTTGTCGGAAGAAAACCTTGTATCTCTGTTTTTGTCATTTTTCAGTTTTTGACATAATCTGAAAATGCCTACATTGTGTTTAAATTTCATGATGAATGGACCAAAAGAAACGACTCAAAATGACTTGGTAGAAATTCTGGTTCCATTGACTTCCATTAAAAGTAAAGTAGGTTTTTTCCTTCTCCTGTAAAGTTGTCATTTTGGAGATACAAGGTTTTATCAGCAATGATATGTTGTGTTTTAGTGATCAACCAGAATGACCATAATGGCTGATCTGCTAAACCAGCACTAGACCAGCACAAATCAGCACAGACCAGATTAGACCAGCATAGAATGCACTGTTTAAAACAGATACTGTATATAATGAATAACATTAACTACATAGTGTTTAAAGTAATATAACATATTAAAGGTTATACCTTTTGTTTCTAGAAGCATAAGGTCACAAAACTACGATTTAGATAAGCTAATGCTAACGCCTATCTGAGTTTGTTAGGTCAAACCATAGATACACATACAGTATAAACCATATATACATATGTATGTCTATCTATGGGTAAAACACAGTGTCAGTACAGCGTTAGCCTGTTTAAATTAAGGAACTGAGATGTTTAAAGTGTGTTTTTTAATGATTAACTCCTCATTATAGAGATTATTTGTATAAAAGTGTTAGCTGTTAGATATTTGAGCGCTTTTCAACTCCAATCACAGGACTTTATAACAACACCTCAACCAATGCCAACCAATCAGCGCTCAGTAGCAGTAATGCTAACCAATCAGCACTCAGTAGCAGTAATGCTGACCAATCAGCTCTCAGTAGCAGTAATGCTGACCAATCAGCACTCAGTAGCAATAATGCTGACCAATCAGCTCTCAGTAGCAGTAATGCTGACCAATCAGCACTCAGTAGCAATAATGCTGACCAATCAGCACTCAGTAGCAGTAATGCTGACCAATCAGCGCTCAGTAGCAGTAATGCTAACCAATCAGCACTCAGTAGCAGTAATGCTGACCAATCAGCACTCAGTAGCAATAATGCTGACCAATCAGCTCTCAGTAGCAGTAATGCTGACCAATCAGCACTCAGTAGCAATAATGCTGACCAATCAGCACTCAGTAGCAGTAATGCTGACCAATCAGCGCTCAGTAGCAGTAATGTTTTTATAGCTTTTTGTTTTTAGCTGTTTAGCTCCTTTCAACCCCATTCATTGAGGACTCGCTCGTGGGCGCCCTCTAGTGTTTTGCCGTGTTGTTTCTGATCTAACAGAATAAGGAATTGTGCAGGTTCTCCTTAAACCAGTACAGAGTCTAATCTCACATCCCGCCCTGATCTTCCACTTCCTCTGGTTTCCCGTCACGGTTTTCAGTGTTACTGTATGAGTCACATATCAGAGCCAAACGCCGAATCTGGAGGAACCTTGAAAAGGGTTAGAGAGGAGGAGATATGAGTCCGCCTGACTGTTTATTATATATATTCATAAATAAACACAACAAAGCTCCACACAACAGCTTCACGCAGCACAGCGCAGGGTCAGTCCTGCATACTGAGCTCTGAGAGGGTGAGGTCGAGAGGCTGCTGGAGCCACAGAAACATCCAACCTCCGAAGAGTCGAACCTGCTCTGTGGTGCGTTGAGCTAAGCTATTAGCCTTTTACAGGGGAACTCCACAGATTTTTCAAAAATTCAAGAAATTTCTAAAATTTAAGATGTGAACAGATTCATTCAGAGCGGTTAAGAGCGGTTCAGAGTGGTTTGGTGTGAAACGCTCTGTTCTAGATAAACTTATCGAATCAGAACTGTTCACAGTGGTGGTGATAGGAACCAGACGTCCACCTCTAAAAGCTCCTCACAGAAAGTTCCTACATGAAATGGATATGAATTCACTGCCTGATGACTGAGACACTGTTTTATGATAGTTTAGAGAACTTAAACTCCATTCATGGTGGAGGGATACATGCAGGGCGCTGTGAGGCAAAATAGTCCCCAAAGAAAACTTATTATTTCAGATTTTCCACTATTTTCCATCATCAACATTCCATATAGACTCAGAAGACTCGTGTAGGTTCACTGGTGGTTCTGGATAGTAAATAAAATGTCTATATCTGTGTTGTAGTCATGGCGACCCCTGGTTCCTATCAACACCACTGTAAAGACACCTGAACCATTTCACACCAAACCTCTCTGAATCTCTCTGTTCACATCTCACACACTGAACTATCGAGGATTTTCCCCTTTAAGCTAGCGCCAGCACACTCAGCTACAGAGAGGGAAGGGGCGGGGTTTGAAAACCAATTAAGCAGGGGCGTATTTAGAATTTGCATTATCGTGCATATTCATAAATCTTCACACTCTTAAAGAGTGTTGAGGTTTGGGATGATCTTTTGTCATTTTAATTGCTTCTTGATCACAACAATAACACACATATTTAACAGCTTAGTATTATTATTATTATGGCGTTATTTGTCACTTTAGAGGTTCTTGAACAGTTACAGTACTAAATTATTTGCATTCAACATTCCATACATTGTGCAACACCAGTGCACCATCAAGTGAATCTGACCTGAATGGTCAGAGAGTTTCACTCTGAGTTAAAGCTAAATGGCTCTTCAGATCGATGGACAATGTGTTGTACATGGTTCTATATAGAACAAGCCATTACAAGCTTAACATCATAACTATAGCAGAACACTTTTTGGTGCTATATAGAACCATGCAAAGAATGATTTAAGCATGCAAATGGTTAAAAAGCACTATATAAATAAATTTGACTTTGAATAATAATAATAATAATAATAATAACAACAATAATAGCAACGGTAGCAACAATAATAATCCTAGTAATAACAATAATAATCATTTTGGCAGTGTTTTGTTATTATTACTGTCACTTTTATTGATCGTGATATCATATTGTTATCGTCTGAATAGTAGAAGTTACCATGATATAAATATGAATTCATATCGCCCACTCTTATGCAGGACGGTCTTTGACTGTAAACACATTTGTAAAAGGCTGAAAGCTCCTCTGTGGTCGTGTATCTGTGTGCGTCAGTGCTGACCGAGTCTCTGTAGCAGTGGAGCTGCTCTGAAAGCTCAGCTCAGGTTACTCTCCACCAACAGCAGCGTCACCGCAC